CATGATCCATGAGAGAAAAAAATTGATAAGCTGGACTTCATTAAAATTAAAAACTGCCAAGCAAGAGACACAGTTAAGAGAATAAAAAGACAAGCCACAATACTGGGAGAAAATATTTGCAAAAGACACTTCTCATAAAGGATTATTATCCAAATATACAAAGAACTCTTAAAACTCAACAATAAGAAAAAAAACCTGATTAAAAAATGGACCTAAGACTTGAGCAGACACCTGACCAAAGAAGATATGCAGACAGCAAATAAGCATATGAATGGATGCTCCACATCATCCTGTCATGAGAGTGATGCATTTTAAAAACAACAATAGGATACCTGCTACACATCTATTAGAATGGCCAAAATCCAGAGCACTGACAACATCAAATGCTAGCAACGACATGGAGCAACGAGAATTCTCATTCATTGCTGGCAGGAATGCAAAATGGTAATGCCATTTTGGAAGACAATTTGGTAGATTCTTACAAAACTAAACATTTTTTTACCATACTATCCAGCAATCATGCACCTTGGAATTTACCCAAAGGAGTCGAAAACTTATGTCCACACAAAAACCTGTACACAAATGTTTACAGCAGCTTTATTCAAATTGCCAAAACTTGGAAGCAATCAAGATGTTCTTCAACAGGTGAATGGGTAAACAAACTGTGGTACATCCATACAATAGAATATTATTTAGCAATGAAAAGAAATGCACTATCAAGCCATGAAAATACAGGGAGGAACTTTAAATGCATATTGCTAAGCGAAAGAAACCAATCTGAAAAGGTCACGTACAATACGAGTCCAAATAATGACATGGAAAAGGTAAAACTAACAGTAAAAAAAATCAGTGGCTGCCAGGAGTTCAGGGCGAGGCAAGGAGGGATGAATAGGTGGAGCAGAGGGGAGTTTTCAGGGCAGTGAGACTATTCTGTAGGATACTGTAATGTGAATACACATCATTATATATTTCTCAAAACCCATAGAGTGTAAAACGTAGTGAACCCTAAAGTAAACTATGGATTTTAGTTAATAATAATGTATCAATATTGGCTCATCAGTTATAACAAATGTACCACACTAAAGCAAGACGTTAATAACAAGGGAAACTGTGAGTGTGGGTGGAGTGAGGAAGTATACGAGAACTCTCTGTGCTTTCTGCTCAATTTTTCTGTAAACCTAAAACTCTAAAAAATAATTATTAATTTAAGAAAAACATACTACAAAGTGTCTTTAAATAAATCAGTTTGAGAGGGGGACATCAGCATCATGGCCGAGTGAGTTATTCCCTTTGTCTCTCTCCTCTAAGTTACAACCAATCAGACATCCACTGACCAACAAAGGACTCCCTACACAGCACAATAGAACACCTAAGAGATCCACACATCTATACATCCAAAGGTGGGTGGATTGGACCTCTGGGAGGCAGTGGAACTAGGGGAACAACCCCTTCCCCTCCTCCCACAGCAGCAGTCCAAAACTGGATTCTCACACTGGCACATGCACCTGTGTATAGAGGCTACAGGGACAGACAAGATACTTGTAGCTTAGCCTCTGTCCCCTAGCAGCGGTGGGTGGCACACACTTCCTGAAGATTCAGGACAGAGTGGAGCCAGTGACCCAGCCCCCTCCCCCTCCTCCAGCAGTAACCTGATCTTTCCAATTGTGGGGACAGTATCCAAAACACAGATTTTCCTACCTGGCGCAGGGCACCCTGACCTGAGTCTTCAGAACCCACCCGCTAGCACCAGTGACCAGAGCAGACAAAGAAACTCACTCCCTGCTTAGCCCCAGACCGCCCCCCACCCAGCAGTGGCAGGTGGAAGCTGCAAACTGAGGCTTCAGGAACCACAGCAGAACCTGCGACCCAGCCCCCAGTGGCAGCACCCCCAATGCCAGCTCTAACAGCAGCAGGGGCTGCATACAAGTCCCCAGGTCCCCAGGCCCCTAGCAGTGACAGCAACATCCATGAACCCAGCACTACTGGCAGCGATGCAACCAGCACCTCCAGACATCCCAGGAGCAGCAGCACAGGTAGTACTTGTGGCAGCAGCATCCAAGCCAGTGGAGAGCCTGTGGAGAGCCAGTAGGGGAACATGAGACCCAGGTGACCCCAGAAGCAGCAGAAGTGCTCACAGCCTGGTGATCCCAGTGGTAACACCTGAGACCGCAGCAACATCATAAGCAGCAAGGCAGCAGCAGCCTCAGCAACAAACAGTGCAAGGAGGACACTGATGGTACCTCTAGCAGAGGCAGTGGAGGTTGGAAAGCGCAGGCCCTCACATACAACCAGAAGCAACTCAGAACCCAAGTAACCAAGCCTTACCCAAATAAGAAAGGTGGTTACTACCACAAATGTGCCAGCAGAGGATCAACTCATCAAGTACCATGAAGAACTAGAGTAACACACTAGCACAGAAAGAAAATGACAACTCTCCAGAAACCAAACTTGAAGTCACAGAAGATTATAATCTAACTGACAGAGAATTCAAAATAGCTGTCATGAAGAAACTCAATAAGTTACAAGAAAATTCAGAGAGACAGTTCAATGAGTTCAGGAATAAAATTAATGAATAGAACAAGTACTTCACCAAAGAGATTGAAACTCTAAAAAGAAACCAACCAGAAATTCTGGAGATGAAGAACACAATTAATGAGATGAAAAATAATGTAGAAATCATTAAAAATAGACTAGACCATAAAGAAGAGAGAAGTAGTGAGCTCAAAGATAGAAATATTCAGATGGAAGAGGTGAGAGAAATGAGATATTTAAAAAATGAAAAAATTCTGTGAGAAATATCTGACTCAATTAGGAAAAGTACCATAAGGGTAATAGGTATCCCAGAAGGAGAAGAGAGGGAGAAAGGAGCAGACAGCTTATTCAAAGAAATAATAGCTGAGAACTTCCCAAATCTGGGGAAGGAAATGGATATACAAGTACCTGAAGCTAATAGGACACCTAATTATCTCAATGCAAAAAGACCTTCTCCAAGCCATATATTAAAACTGTCAAAAGTCAATGACAAACAAACAATATTAAGGACAGCCAGAGAGAAGAAAATAACCTACAAAGGAACCCCCATCAGGCTTTCAGCAGATTTCTCAGCAGAAGCTGTACAGGCTAGGAGAGAGTGGAACGATATATTCAAAATCAGTGCGATTCCAGCACATGAACAGATAGACAAATGGAACAGACAAGGAAGTACAAAAATACATCCAAGTACATATGTCAATTTAGAATATGATAAAGGTGGTTATTCAAATCACTGGAAAAGAGGGAACTTTTTAATAAATGGTGATGAGACAACTGGAGAACCATTTGAAAAAATCACATCAACCCTTCACATCATACGTAAGAATAAACTCTAAATGAGTCAGAGATCTAAATGCAGAAAAACAAAACCATACAAGCACTAGAAGAAAGCACAGGTGAATTTCACTACAGTCCGGGTGTAGGGCAGTGGTTCCCCACCAGGGACAACTTTGACCCCAGGGGACATTGGGTAATGTCTGCAGACATTCTCAGTTGCCACAACTGTCAGAGTCCTACTGGCATCGAGTGGGTGGATGTCAGGGATGCAGCTACACCCTACAATGCACAGGACAGCTCCCCACAGCAGAGACATATCCAGGCTAACGTCATTGGTGCCATGGGTGAGATACCCTGGACTAGGGGAAGGCTTTTGACTATTACTCAATATCCAGATGCAATAAAAGAAAACATTGAGAAATTTGACTAAAGAAAAATTAATGTTTTTGAAAAGGTTTTATTTTGAACAAATGTAGCATTTAATCTTTTCCCTAATACTTTGCATCTTGTTTTTTCATCATAATATGTAATACAAAGAAAACATAAAGAATTTTTTCACCAAGTCCCATGTAGATGCCCCCAAATCCACTCCTGTTTCCTCCAATGAGCCACATAAGCATTAACATTTTCTGTGTGGGCCATGACATGAACAGGTTGAGAACTCCTGCTATAAATAATGCCCATTTCTGTCTTAATTGTTTCTAACCTGCTTATCTGAGTGTCTTCCTTACAATATCTGTGTTCATGTGGGCACGTGTGAGTGTGCATGTAGGTGTGTCTTGCAAATTTCCTGGGGCAAATATATTTGATATTTAACATTTATTCCTTGCCAGACACTTTATGCAAGTGCTTTACATATATTACCATATTTAATCACCACCACAAACTATGAGATAGGTTCTTTTCCATCCCCATTTTACAGATGACACTGAGACAAAGCAGTAAGTCACCTGCCCAGTCACACTGCTAGTAAGCGGTGGAGCTGAGGAAGGATTAGCTAACTGCTTGATAAGTATTCTCCATATGGTGTTCACGAGAAGCCATGATGAATTGCTTAAAAAGCTTAATCTATTCATGTTTGTTTTGTTGAAATAATTTATTTTTGAACCGAGCTTCTTTTATTTTTTTATTGTGGTAAGAACACTTACCCTAAGATCTACCCATGTAACAGATTTGTAAGCATACAAGAGAGCGTAGTGAACCTAGGGCACTGTGTTGCACAGCAGATCTCCAGAACTTACTCATCTGGCATAACTGAAACTTCACACCCATTGAACGACTCCCCATTTCCCCCTTCTTTTGAATGTGTGTCCATGTTTACTCTGTTCTCCTCTTCATTCCTATGTTGCATGAATGCTTTCAGCTTGTCATCATTACTGCAATCTCTAGGCAAAAAGCCATAGGCCATGTGTGCTTTGAAATATTAAATGCCCACTTGTTATGCTATATTGGTATTAGTAAAAATTGTATGTAATAAAACCTGTATAATATATAGAAAACTTCTGATAAGACCACCACTCTGGATGTAGCAAACTCCTCTAAAGGACGTGTATTTCATTGGGGCAGTGTCCACATAAGAGCTCCATTAGGACAAGAATTCTTTCTCTTTTCACACTGAGGCCTATTTCTCTAGACAGACACGGTACAGTGATGACAGTGTATGGCCCTGGGGAGTGAAACCCAAGAACTACCTGTGTACTGATGCAGCATTTTGCATATCTCCTTTAGGCGGTGGCCCTCGGGGCTGAATTTGAAAAGTATGTCGTGGTGACGTAAGAAACAGCACAAGCGGTAGAAGATGATTTTGCTGGCTTCCAATGTCAATTTTACATAAAGATCATGGGTGCTAGAAGAGAAAGTGGGGTAATGTCAATAAATGACTTAGATACTGGCAAACAAGTGTCTTTTGGCCCTCCTGTCACTGACCTGTTTATCTGGCAGTTGGTCTCCTGGCTGAAAGCACATTTCATGAGTATGTCCAGGGTCATCAAGTTGATGTGCTCAAAGACCTCCACAATTGTGTCCTGAGTGTCACGAATCTTCTCCCACTTTGCCTGGCACAGGAGGTCAAATCAACAACATCACCATCATCAGACTGCCTGTATCTGAAGGCTCCTCCCTAACCCCGCCCTTATGATGTAGGGGAGATGACCCTGACAAAGCAGGAGCCAAACGGTATGTGAGTAAATAAGCCAAGTGCTTCCTTGACATGAGGAAGGGGAAATGCACCCAGCTGGGTGAGAAAGAGCCTGGGACAAATCCGGTATCCGGTAAACGGCTGAGTTAAGTATCTTTGGCCTTTCTGTTACTACCATAACTCTGCTTTAAAACAAATCAGAGTCTTGGTAAAAAGTCTCTGATACAAAACCCATAATTACAGGGCTTCCTCCATCATCAGTCCCCAAATTGCTAGACACCTGACCCCATCACTACTCTCAACCATCAAAACCACACTTAAAAAAAACTTGGAATATTTAAAAAAGTTTTCGATTCGGAAGCGACGGACAGAGAGAAGCCAGGAATAGGAGCAGCTGCTGGACCTGGTTCCCAGCCAAGTGCTGCCTGTGTCCACTTTACTTCCCCCCAAAATAAACTACTCACACCCCCTGAAATGTTTTGTGGCTTAAACTGCCACAAAGTTCCTTGACGAACATGTATTTGTCATAATAAGCATTCTTTGTGTAAAAATACAAATAAATCTAAATGTTTATGTTCAGATCAACCTACATTTGTTGAGCGCCTACGCCTATGGCTGAGTGCTAAGGATTCGGAGGCCATGGAAAAAAAGGCAAAGAGATTTTTTTAAAGCTTTTACCTAAATGTCAATTGTTTAGTCAATTGCTTTTACCCTGAATTATGTAAGTTTTACTGAGCACAAAAAGTGAGTTGAGAAGAAATGAGAGCAAAGAGGAGGCTCCAAGCTGGAGGCAGTTTGGAACAACTCAGCAGAGGGAGGAGCTGTGAGAGGAATCTCAGGGAAATGTGGGACTGAGAAGCCAGGAAGATGGCAATGGATTATCAAAATGGAGATAAACTCAAATACCACCACCGGCTGATGTGCAACTGTGCATAAGGCTGCACAGCACCCGAATCAGAAGAGCATGCCCCCTCTAGCCTGCACCTCTAGCTCTCTCCCTCAGGAACTCACACGGGTGTTTTCACCACAATCCAGCAAACTTCAGGTTAAATCTACTTTGTGAGGTTGGCTGAGAACCCAGCCAACCAGCTGGTAACAGTGGTGCTATGGAAAAGGGATGGGTTTGCAGAAGGCGGAGGGAACCTTAGGCTTTGTCTGTGGTGTTTGAAGTGTGTATGATGAAACTGTATTCATGAATCAATTGTCTGATTTTTAAATAAGTACAATTTAAAAATATATCATGTACAGTGGAGTTTTGGAATAGAACTCATTTGTACATCAGGGACCGCCCATAGGAATGTTCCTCTGCAACGCCTTCCTGCCCCTTTGGAAGGGCTCAAGTCAGCTCCCAATGATCATCTTCCGTCTACAAGAGGAAACTCTCATCTGCGAGTTTAATGTAGACACTTATTCTTTGCTAGGGCCTTTACAGCCTTCAGGCGAGTCCATTCCGAACTCCACACCTTTGTTCATGCTGACTCACTCTGCCTAGGATTCCCCCTTCCATATTATCCACATATTCAAGTCCAGCTCAGATTTCATGGCAAATTGGAGTCTCCTCTGAATCTGAAGCTGTTACAGCTGGTCCTGGTTTCCTTACTCGTCACCTACAGCACTTACCGTCTGAATCTCACTACTTGGTCCTTGGTTTACTGCCATGGGATCTCAAAATACATCTAAGACAGACAACCAGATCTTCATCTTTTCTTATCACACAAAGAACCATTGCAAAGGTTTACATAGACACCTATTGCTCAGTGGGTACTTGTACACTCATTAATTTCTAGAAATCATCCTCCTTTGACTCTCACTACCCACTAAGCATATGTCCAATCCATTCCCTGTTGGAAGCATTCTGCAACACAACAGAGCACTTCTGTCCCTTCACTTACCAGCATTGTGCTCACAGAATGGGCCATCACCTCGACATATGATTTCAAGATGTTAAAATTGAATCCAGGAGTTAGTAGGCTACAGTGCTGGAACCACTTGGGTCCATCGAGACTCACCAGTCCTTTTCCTTGAGAAATAAAAGGCACACAACCTCATGCCACTTTATTAGATGAGATGAGGATGGAGAGGTGAGGAACACAGACGTCATGGAGCAACCGCGACACACAGGTAGTCATGACATGGTGGATTATCAAAGTAGTGCTCATCTATTAAGATTGAGCTGAGTTTTGGGGCCAGCCCGGTGGCGCAAGCAGTTAAGTGTGCACGCTCCGCTGCAGCAGCCCAGGGTTCGCCGGTTCAGATCCCGGGCCCACACCGATGCACTGCTTGGCAAGCCAGGGGCAGCGTCCCATATAAAGTGGAGGAAGATGCGCATGGATGTTAGCCCAGGGCCAGTCTTCCTCAGCAAAAAAAGAGGAGGATTAGCAGATGTTAGCACAGGGATGATCATCCTCACACACAAAAAAAAAAAAAACATTGAGCTGAGTTTGATGCTTACATCTGGAATGGATGTATTTAGTATTGTGAGAAAGACCCCAAGTTTCAAAGCCTGATGAGAGTGTTAATCCTGAAATCCCCAGTTACTACCTTTGTAATATAGTCATGTGTCGCTTAACGATGGGGATACACTCTGAAAAATGTGTTGTTAGGTGATTTCGTGGATGTGCGAACATCACAGAGTGTACTTACACAAATCTAGATGGTACAGCCTACTACACACTTAGGCTATAAGGTACTAATATTATGAGACCACCATCATGTATGTCGTCCATCATTGACTGAAATGTCGTTATGCAGAGCATAACTGTAATGAAGCCACTTAACCTTCCTGAGGCTTGGTTTTCTCAATGATAAAGTATGATAATAAACATCTACTTCACTCTATCGCTGTGCACATTAAATGAAGGTGTATACATAAGGCACCTAGTCTGGTCTCTAGCTCAAAGTAGACACAACAAATATGCATCTCCTCTCCACTCCAAACCAATCCATGAACTATACCGGGAACACAAAATTCACAAGGAATTAACGCTTTTGTGAATTCCGATTTGAGTTTCTTTGGAATGCTCTCCCATGGAAACGGGACTTAAGTGAGAGAGTGGGGTACCCCTCTCCTTTGCACATACATACCAAGACACGGAATCAAAACCTTGTACAGGTTCTTGGACTTGAGATCTGCAGAGTGAAGCAGAGGAAACAGGAGACAGCATTAGAGGAAAGTAACCAGTCACAGCTGGTGAAGGTTCTCTTCATTTGCCTGCACCAACCACAAACAGTGAGCAAAAGGGGGCCCAGGGCTCACTCCCTGCAGCCCTTGGCAGGCCCAGGGAAACCCCAAGTCTTGGTTCAGGAACCAGAGAACAGCAAGCCCATGAGACAGACAGGTACACAAACCCAGATTCTTCTCTTGTTTACACGTCCTCCAACAGACACAGAGATTGCCCAAGGGTCGCAAGTTTCCAGAACAGGACTTGGGGCAATGTATCATATCCTTTTCGAAAAGCAAGTCAACTCTTAGAGCAGGGGCGGCAGACACCAGAGAGTGAGGCACTAATGCCTCCTGGGGTTCTCGGGAACTCTCACTGGACGTGCTTTACAGCTCTTGGCCTTTAAGAGGTGAGCTTGAGACAAATCAGCTGGGGGATGGGGAAACATGGAGACTTTCAGGGAAAGGCTGTTTTCCTTTATTAGGTTTTACTAAGAGGAATGGAGACAAGAGCACAGGAAAGAAAGATGAGAACATCAGACCTTAGTTTTACAGAGTTCATGGAGCGAAAACTGGACATTTTAATTTTGTGCTATGAGATAATCCACCGTGGAAGCCTTGGAAAAGGGTTGGATGGGGGAGACAGATGACCTGTGCCTCAAGAGGGAACACAGTTGAGAAATGGGCAGAAAACAAAAACAAAATCTGGACCACAATCAAGAGGGTAGACTGGTAAATTAATGACCTGGCACTCAGGTTCAGGTACTGAACAGCAGAGGCAGAGCCAATTCTGAATCCCCTGAAGATTTCTGCTCAAGAAAGGCCTGGGGGTGGGGAGTGTTGCTGACACAGAACACACAAAAGCAAGAGAGGCCAAGGAAGCCCCTGGTGATCTGGTGGTGTCACCTGGGCTCTAAGATACACTGACCTAAAAGGGCCCATGAGAGCCTGAATTAGACGAGGGGGCTGGGGAACATGGGACCCCCTTCAGGATTGGTGGGAAACCTCCCCACCCTTTCTCCACTGTCTCTTAAAGGCCCAATAGAGGCCTCTGCTGCAGAATTCCTTTAGAATCCTGCCTGTAGGCTGTGCATATAACTCCTGGGAGGATTAGCTTCCTGAGATTCCCTCTTTTCTTACCTGTTCTGCTCAGAAATGTCTTTGCATAGTCTGGGTCATAGATATAGAAAACTGCCTGGAAGGGCCCAACCCAGCAAGGAAAGGCACAAGGGTATTTTTCAACAAGTTCCTCAAGCTTCTCCATTTTACCATCCTGAAGTAACTGCAGTGAAAAAAGTGAAGGAAATTAGAGAAGCCAACCAGTCTGGACTCATCCCCTCTTACAGGCACAAACTGAGCTCAGGGCCTAGACTGAAATCGCACAGGCAGAAGGGCCCAATCCTTTTTCTGGAAGTGGCTGAACCGCTTTCCTTGGGATTTCTAAGCTTGGGATATAATTTTCTAAACAAGGTTAGCGTATTTATTTTCTCACTATAAATACATGTTGTATCCCCAGACCAAGTCACTATCAAACGACATATACCGTGAGCTGTTTTCCCAACAGAGAGGGTGGAGTGAGCAGAGTCACACACTCTGTCTCACCACCAACGTCACACACTTAGATTAGAAGTGGAGTCTGGAAGATGAAAAAGTTCTTTTTTCCTATGTGGGAAGCAAACTGTTAGTAGATTGACATGGCCCACCATCCAGCTGACCACACCATTCCCTCTGTCTATTTATTGATGAGTGATTCTTTCTCATGACTTAATAGTAAACACTTCTTTCTAAAAACCTGCCAACACCATCTACAAAGAAAATCCAACTTTTTCCCTTATGACAGTAAAAGGCTCATTTATACAGGTGTGTGAAGCTTGAAGCAAACTCAAATACAAAACTCTCAGCTTCCAACCTTTATAAATCAGTACAAATACTACCATCAGAAATGAACTTTTTGCCTTGACAAGCAGATTACTAATGTGTCATTTAAGCAGTTCCTCCTCTAAATCACTGACAATGAGACTCATTTACATTCGCTTCTTGTATAAAGTGGGGGGTGGGGAGGCACCCGTATGTGTGTGTCTGAGTGTATGTGTTTGACCGGGTGTACGTGTGTGTCTGGGTGTACGTGTGTGTCTGGGTGTATGTGTGTGGGTGCATGTGTGTGTCTGGGTGTATGTGTTTGTATTGTATGTCTGGGTGTATTGTGTCTAAGCATATGTGTGTGGGGGGGTGTATCTGTGTGTCTGGATGTACGTGTGTGGGTGTATGCGTGTGTCTGGGTGTACGTGTGTATCTGGGTGTATGTGTGTATCTGGGTGTACGTGTGTGGCTGTGTGTGTGTGTCTGACTGTATGTGCATGTCTGGGTGTACGTGTGTGGGTGTATGTGTTTGTCTGGCTGTATGTGTGTGTCTGGATGTATGTGTGTCTAAGTGTATGTGTGTGTGGGTGTATGTGTGTGTCTGGGTGTACATGTGTCTGGATGTATATGTGTTTCTGGGTGTGCCTACACATTTGAGCATGATCGTGGGGGTCCTGACTTGCAAAGAAAGCTTAAGGCTGTCAAGTTCTTTCTTGTGTGACCAGTCACACAGGATTTGCCCTGTGACTGTTTGTTCCTACCCTGAGAAGGGTGTTTCCACCTCAGAAGAGATGGAAAACTTTAGCTCCCAATTTCCTCTGTTACCAGCTAGCCCCTCTAAGCCATGAAGTGCTCCCTGCATAGTTTAGGGCCCCTAAAATGTTGAGACTCTTGACAGCTAATTCCTGAAGTGCTACAGACTTTTTGCTCCCATTCCCACAACCAAGCCAGTGATAAGTGCCCAGTGATGACCCAAGCAGTGTTTCCCAACAATGTGAATATTTATTCATCTGCAAGCAATAAACAGACGAGAATTTATTAAGTGCCTATTATATGTGCCATAGAGATTCAGATAAATATAAGACAGGCAAGATCTTTGCCCTCGTGGAAATTATAGCCTCATATGAAGATTATTTCTTTAGGTTAGACATTGTCAGGGATACCCTCAGCCACAAGCATTTGGTTATACTTTTAGTAACTTATGTGTGGACAAAAAGGACAGAAAGCTACTGTGAATCTTGTAATTTATGAGTTTATATTTCTTCACCCACAGCAACATCTAAATACATTTGAAAATACATATTACACATATTTAGGAAATGGTCAGAAATATTCGGAAAATGCTTAGTACCCAGAGAAACAGCACCTCTTCCTACACACCTTATCTTATGCATCTCTTCCATCTGGATGTTCATCTATAACCTGAAGTTATATATGAGTGTTAAATTAAATTAAATTTCAGAACACCAGAGGCAAAGTAAAGACGTTACAACTGCTAGACAGGAAGAGCAAAGGGTCAAATAACAAGTATTAAGAACGAGAAAGGTGAGAGGATTCTGGAAAGATGGCAGACTAGGAAGTACCAGTATTCTGTCTCCCCACCTAGACAACTATTGCACTGGCAGAATCTGTCTGATGTACCTATTTTGGAACTCTGGAGTTGAAGCCTTGAAACTTTCAAGGGGAAGGCTTAGACTGTAAATTGTGGATAATTTTGGTCAATTTCAGCTCTTTGCACAGTAGCAGCTACCCATTCCCCACCTCTAGGCCTTTGGCAAGCAGCTGCAAGTGTTCCCAGAGCAGCTTGCAGATAGCTTGTGGGAGCCAGAGGAACAAAAAGACCCTGTCCTCCAAATATTGGGAATCTGTCCTCTGATTACTGCTTGCTTCCTCTGTCACAGAGGTGCAGACAAAAAGGCCAGTGGCCATTGTTGTTGCACCTCCCCTCATTGTTGCAAGCCCCTCCCACTCTGGCTGAAGGGACTTCCAGGGGATTTACGGTTGGTGACTTTTTCCCCCATCACTTTTCTCTTTTTTCCCTTTTGAGAGCCAGACATTGAAGACTAGAACATTCAAAAGCAACTGTACATATGGGTAAAATTAGAAAGTGACCGCACATGCCCAAGGAAAGGTATAGATCCAGAAAAGACCCTCAAATACATTAAGTTTACACCTCATGCTGATCCTTGGCATACAGAGAGCCTCAAACAACTAAAAACAAAAAAAAGCAAACCCTGGGGAAGGGGGAGAATCTGATTTCCAGAGTTATCATATCATTAGATTGAAATGTCCAGCTTTCAACAAAGAATCACAAGGCATACAAAGAAAAAGGAAAATATAGCCCATATAAAGGAAAAAATTAAATCAACAGAAACTGTCCCTGAAAAAGACCTTGTGGCAGCACTACTAGACAAAGACTTTAAAATAACTGTCTTATAGATGTTCAAAGAACTAAAGCAAGATGTGGAGAAAGTCAAGAAAAAGATGTATGAACAAAATGGAAATATCATTAAAGAGATAGAAAACCTAAAAAGAAACCAAAAAGAAATGCTGGAGATGAAAAGTACAATAACTGAAATAAAAAACTCACTAGGGGGATTCAAAGGTAGATATGCTCAGAGCAAAGAGAGAATCAATGAACTTGAAGATAGAACAATGGAAATTATTGAGTCTGAGGAACAGAAAGAAAAATGATTGAAGAAAAGTGAACAGAGCCTAAGGGACCTATGGGACACCATCAAGCAGACCAACCTACAGTCCCAGAAGGAGAAGAGAGAGGAGAAAGGAATAGAGAGAATATTTGAAGAAATAATGGCTAAAAACTTCCCAAATTTGATGAGAGACATGAATATAAACATCTAACAAGCTCAGTGAACTCCAAGTAAGATGAACTCAAAGGGATCCACACTGAGTCATATTATAATCAAACTTTTGAAAGACAAAGACAAAAAGAGAATCTTGAAACCAGCAAGAATTCTTTCTTGCTCATTACATACAAGGGATCCTCAATAAGATTATCAGTAGATTACTCATCAGAAACTTTCGAAGACAGAAGACAGTGGGCTGATATATTCCAAGTGCTCACAGAAAAAAAAACCCTGTCAACCAAGTGTCCTATAATCTGGCAAAACTGTCCTTCAAAAGTGAGGGGGAAATTAAGACATTCTCTGATAGACAAAAGCTAAGGGAGCTTATACCACTAGACTTGCCCTGCAAGAAATGCTCAAAGGAGTCCTGCAGGATGAAATGAAAGGACACTAGACAGTAACTCAAAGCCATATGAAGAAATAAAGATCTCACTAAAGGTAAATACATTGGCAGTTATAAAAGCTAATATTATTGTAACAATGGTTTGTAACCCTACTTTTTTTTTCTACATGATTTTAGAGACTAATGCATTTAAAAGAATTATTAGTTTAGGTTTGGGGCTACAACATATAAAGATATAATTTTATGACATCAACAACTAAAATGGGTGGGGACAGAGTTGTAAAGGAGCAGAGTTTTTGTATGTTATTGAAGTTAAGCTGATATAATTCCAAATTAGTGTGTTATAACTTTAGGATATTAAATGTAATCCCCATGGTAACCACAAAGAAAATAGCTATAGAATATACATAAAAGAAAATAAGAAAGGAATTTAAATATTTCAGTACAAAAAATCAACTAAACACAAAAGAAGATAGTAATGCAGGAAATGAGGGACAAAAAAAAAGCTACAAAGCATATAGAAAACAAATAGCAAAAAGACAAAGAAAGTCCCTCCTTATCAGTAATTACTTTAAAAGTAAATGGATTAAACTCTCAAATCAAAACACAGAGATTGACATAATGTATTTTAAAAAAACATAATCCAACTATATGCTGTCTACAAGACTCATTTGGAATCTAAAGACGTAATTAGATTAAAAGTGAAAGGATGGAAAGAGATATTCCATGCAAATAGAAACCAAAAGAGAGCAGGGGTGGCTATATTAATATCAGACAAAGTATACTTTAAATCAAAAAAGGTTACAGAGACAAAAAGGACATTATATACTGAAAAAAAGTTCAATACAAGAAGATAGAACAATTATACATTTTTTGCACCTAATGACAGACCATCAAAATATATGAAGCAGAAGCTGACAGAACTGAAGAAAGAAATAGGCAGTTCTACAATAATTGTTGGGGATTTCAACACCCCATTTTCAATAATGGATAGAACAATCATACAGAAGTTAAGTGAGCAAACAGAGGACCTAAACAACACAATAAAGCAACTAGATCTAACAGACATATACAGAACACTCTACCCAACAACAGTGGCATACATATTCTTTTCAAGTGCATATGGGACATTTTCCAGGATAAACCATACATTAGGCCACAAATTAATTCTCAGTAGATTTTAAAAGATAGATATCATGCAAAATATCTTCT